ACAATCGAAGTATGATTATTTCAAATAATAATACTCACCAATTTCAATATATATATTTTACGTAAAAAAGAGAATATAATTATTTCAAATAATATATCATCAATTTCAATATATTAGTATTTTGCGTTTATTATATTTCGATTCTTTTTTACGCAAAACTCTAATATATTGAAATGGATGAGTATTATTATTTGAAATATTTATATTTCGATTCTTTTTTTACGCAAAATACTAATATGTATATTGAAATTTTTGAATATCAACATGCAAACATATGGGTTTGAGTTTCTCGGAACCATTTAAACTTTAAATCCCATCGCTCAGAAGGAATGTTTCTCTACAAGTGTCGAAATATTATCTTGACCGTCATTAAACTGAATGGTTATTGCTTTCCAAAGAGCTTCATATTCCACTTTTATGTAAACATGTAACGGCTTTTTGAAGTTGCATGCTCGCTAAAATTATTCATATAAAAATATTCAACAATTATCAAATATTATTTTACTTAAGAATATTAAAAATATTATTGTACTTAAAAATACTTAAAAAGTATTGCATTTTTGAATATAGTATCAGACTATTATATTGCTTTAATCAAAAACACTCAACTATTATAACTTTTTTTTTGAAAAAGTATAGAATTTGAAATTAGTATTGAAAAATTACTGTTAACATTTTACAATATTGAAAATGATTCTGATTTAACACATCAGATAAAAGCAATAGAATTCATTCTAATATGGATAATAATAATTGTGATATGATATTTAATGAGTTTTAGATCTTTCTTGCACTTATGTTTGATTTTTATGAAAAGTAATCAAAATTCGATATTGAGTACTATCGATACTATTGCCACGATATTTTGATTAGATACTTTTTAAAGTACTCAATATCGTACTTTTGCCTCGATACTTCTAACACTAGTCAGGACATCTCAATCAATTTATGCGAAGAACTTGAGAATAAAAATAAAATGGTCATTTAACTAATTACAGTATAACTAACTATTTTGTATTGCATTTTTTATTTCAGTGTTTACTTGACAATAATTGTTTTATTTTGCAGGACCTTTCTACGAAGGCCAAAGTACACCACCTGGCACAGACGGATACACGGATCCCCAATTCACCGCATTGCAGAAAGGAGATGCGTTTACTAATTTAGTTTCCACTTACGGAGGTTATCATTCTACTCCTGCAGATTACCATTCTGCAATGACGCCTCCGAGTTCAGTTTCTCCTAGGGATAAAACTGCTAACGTCCCAAGTGTGGTAACAGGACCTACAGGCTACGAAGGATTCGCGAGCTACGCCTCGACTGATGCGCTCCAGTTGCCTTTGAAACCCCAAGCCTACCCAGCAATGCACGGGGCCCCATTGGACGCATACGGAGCACTGGAGCAGAGCCAATTTTATTCACATCATAGTGGGTTCCATCTGTATCACAAAGGTTCACCGGCTGCCGGTTGGTATTCAGCGCCATCATAGAAATAGGATCTGGATTTGTGCGACGTTCCGTATGTATCCAAAGTGAATATTGTTTGAAAGAGACTTGAATAACCAAGCCGTCTATTCCATAAAGCAACTTACTATATATTTAACTACTAACAAATGAAGAAATTCATTTGTATCTGTAGAAACTGGCAAATCGTGTTTTACAAGATGTTACATCTATTAAAACTTACTTTTATATACAGAAAAATATATTTATTACTTATGTGTATGAATTAGAGAACTTAAGAGACGCGATCACGACGATTGGGAATTGTATATGAATTTTTACATAAGATTCACAAAATTAAAATTTGAATCTACATAATTCATGAATCTAATATCATTTATTCATTTAGAAATTTTACATATACCAAATAAAAATGCATGCTGTCAGCCAATTAGTCGAGATAGACTAAATCAATTGTAGACAGCACCCCTACAACGCTGTGAGCTGTAAGAAACTCGAATTGAACGTAAAAACCATGTAAACCGCGTTTCTAGTATACAACGTTAAAGAAAGGTCGACTGTATTTGTTACTGAATTGAATGGCCAATACCGACAGATTTTTATCATAATCTAACATAAACGATATTGTTTCCGATATCGAATTTTTAAGAGAGTTGATTTTGATTTGCACAAAAATAATATTATTTTTTCACCAATTCGCATTAAAATATAAAGGTAACCCGCATTTAACACAGTAGTTACGTTGTTTGTTGCAAAAACCACTCGTGATATAGGAAACAAAGGACTAGTACTCAAAAAGGGGTTTGGTTCCACAAAGTTAAAGGAAACATCTTATTAAACTTTTATAACAATGGTATACTATATATGTTCATTGTCTTTTTAAGAATGAATAATCTGCCTAGACAAAAATGAGAAGCATGTATAAAATTTATTAATTTTATTATTTGTAAATTTTTAAGAAGACTTGAGCCTTCTGCGGAAAATCTGATAGAAAGTGCACACTAGATGTATCACGTTTACTACTAATTTAATAACTTTTAATTAGATAAAATTTGCTTTTATAAATTTTGTTATATTTCATATTTTATTAGAGTTTTGCCGAATTTTGAACCGTTTTAGGGTTACCTGTATTGTTACAAGGTATAGTTACAAAGGACTAACACAAAAATAGGGTTACGTTTCTAGAATTCAAAAAAGACATACTACTACTTATTATAATTTATAAAAAAAATATTAAATTATTCAAATTTTCTTAAGAAGTAATACATAACTAACAAGTAAGCTGCTTTTATTCTATTCCTCTGATCATTTTTCTGTACTGCTGAAAAATCGAGCATTATTTTTTTCGATTTGTTTCGATACAATTAGTAAAAGTTTCATAATATTTGAGTTATATTGTAGAAAGATTTCAGTAATTTTTGATTGGATGAAGTTTCTATTTAATTTTTCTTTTTTATTAGGGTTATGCTCAATTCTCAAACCTTGTTATAGCGAATTCGAGCTTAAAGTACCGTGTTATATAGGGGATAGTTTTACTTGGAACTTGTTGTAGCGAATCCGTATTACAGAAGTACCGTATTATAGGGGGGTTACCTGATTTTGTGAACACCCTGATCAACTCTCTTAAATCTAACACATATTGAAAAATCGTCAGTTCAATACATTTCTCCCTGAAACCATCACAAACATATCACATTATATTTTGCCAAATCAATATAATTTTACATGAATCGAAATATTGTTCTTATCGTATTCTTAAGTATAATTGAAAAATGCAATTTCAAAAGTATTTTCTGCACAAATAAGACATAAAATATAAGTGAGGTGATTTGAATAGGTTGAATGGACAATATATAAAAATAGAATCTGATTAAATATAATTTACCAAATCCTATTCTAATTTTAAAATGCGAATTAGAATCTCGAGCACAAAGTTGTTAAGAAAATTCTTATGACTGCTCCTATCTGCAGATGCTTATATGTGGACATATTTTTCGGCTTACTATAAATCATATTGATTTTGCCATGAGCTGTTTGTAAATTTTTTATAGAAAGCCATATAGTGACCATGTTACAATTTTTGTATATATGCTGAAACCTAATTAAGAGTTTGCATTTGGGCATAGATCAAATTATTTGTTTTTATTATTCGTACTTAAATATGTCTATTATTATCAATAATTGATATAAATTATTCAAACTTAGAATAGAAAATATGTAATATAAAACTATTGTACATATATATATATATATATATAATAATAATCTAATATACATAACAGTTATCCTAACACTAGGCATTGAAATAAATTATATAGTATCATATAGTATTCTAAATCATAATTTCATCACAATTTATAGATTTTATTTACTTTTCTAATTATTTTTGGAAAAAAAAAGAATGGGGATTCGGGAAGAGGGGCAATAAGATTTTTCATAATTGCCATATTTGATTAATGTGTTTAATCTTTATGAACTTTGTAAATATGACATATGTTGCTGGTTGTTTGTCCAATTACAAAAACAATGATAAAATCTGTGCACTTTTAATAGATGGCGTTATGAGAAGACTTTAGTTTGGTAAAAATATGAAGTGTCTGATTTTATATTATATTTAATAAATATTTAATATGCATTGTGATTTAAAATAAAAGTATATCTTTTAATTGGGTGGACAAGCCAAAATATTCATGTGGACCTGTGCATATAAAAATATTACTTTAAAATAGTGCTTCAGTTTTTTTTATAATATCTCGATCAGCATGGTATTTTGCATAATACTGAATTTTTGTTAAATCAGTGCTAGTTTGTAAAATATGCTTTTGATATGTTATGTTTAGCACTTAAAACACTAATAACATATGTCGAATATTTAATGTAAATATATTTTGTTTCATCATTATTAAAAATTTTAAACAGTATGATACTGTTACATATTATTGATATTTGTTAGATTCATTCCAATAAAAATATAAATATATGTGAAATCGACTTTTGATTTTATAAAAACTTATTCTTGATGCTGTTGTTGAACAATAACCCTTTTGTTGTCGATTTGAAACCGATATTTCTGCTCTCCAAACTAATAATTAACTTCCCATTTTCGAGAATATGAACCGATATGAATGATTGAAAGAACATTCGGTTTGTACAGACCACGAGAGGTTTTGCAAAAGGCACGTCTAATCGTTTCTGAGAAATGGAGCGCAAAAGGTGTAAAAATAGTTATGCAGTTTTTGAGATAATGTATTATCCGATTAGATTAATTCAAAAAAGGTTTTGCTTATGTAGACGGTGTGCAAAAAAGGCTTTTTAAAATAAATTCGTAATTTTGAAAATTCTCAAAAAAAATTCAACATTTTCAAAAAAAAAAGTTTCAAAAACTTCAAATTTTCAAAATGCTTTATCATTTTTTTAAAAAAATTAGATTTTGAAGGACTTCAAAAATATCAAAATTTAAAAAATAAGCAATAACTTACAAAAACTTTAAAATATTTCGAAATTTTCAAAAAAATCGAAAATTTTCAAACATTTGTAAATTCTCGAAAATTTAGAAAAAAATCAACATTTTCAAAAAAATCTTATTAATTCACAGTATCTGTGAATATTACTTATAAATTTACAGTATATTTTTATAATAAATAATCTGTTTGAAATTATTTATTTTGATTATTTTTATTTCTCGAATGTTTAATTTTAGTACGGAAAGCTACAGCAATTTTTTTAAGGCACGATGCGTCCTTATTTTTATTAACAGGCACTATAAAATATAAATATAAATAGATGTTGCCATACTGCTCTTCAGAATTGTACTTTAATTATTTTGAATTATAAATTCTAAAACTATTACATGTTAATAATATAAATGCAAACTGTTTAATTATATAAATATTCAACACAATCTAAGTACTTGAAATTTTAAACCAAAGTACTTGTAATAATCTTATCTTTCATAACCTAATAAGAATTAGTTACAGTTATCGAAATCTATAAATACAGATGAACAAGCATCATTTGTAATCAATTGCAAGTTGTGTTTCTACAAATTTTAGCTAATAATAATGAAGTTGCTAGTGGCGGTGTGTGCTGTAGTTTTTACGGCCACTTCAGCTTCACCCATTAAAAATAAAGGTATGAAATAAAAATATATTATAAAAATGTAAATTGTCAATTTATAAGATTATATTTCTATAAGGTTGCTCTTTTATCTTATTTGAAGCAAATGCAAAAATGAATAATTATTATTATTTTGTAATATTCTATTTTATAATAATTTTTCTTGACACATCTTTACTATAAATCAATATATACATTGAATAGCTTTTGAATCATTTCAAATTTCTATCCATCCATACAACCGTTCATTCGTGTACCATACATAGTTGTTATAAATTCAGTACTGAATTTGCGTTCTACAAGATTATTTTAATTATTTTAACTACAGATTAAAACTAGTTGGTATTGGTATTTTGCCTTGAGGCAAGTTACATGAACTTCCCGATATGTGTAAATAATCGACTTAATCAATAAAAAATAAATAAATTTATGAGTGATTAAAAGTATTACGAGTAGATTTATTACACATAATTGAAAACGAACGAACACGTTAACTAGGAGTATTTTCTAAAAACAAATTTTCAAAAATCAATCATTTTTTATAATTGAACCAGTTACCGTAGGACTTTAATGGTTTAGTATGTTCATTAAGACCAAGTATTCTATCGTTATACCAAGTAAATCGTCTAATTTTAATTTTAACAAACGTCAAAAATGCTACTCCTTTTCTCAAACTCTGATGATTTTTTAAAATTAAACTACTTGTAGTAAGGCCATAACATTTTAGTAAGCTCTATAAGACCATGATATATATCGCCAAAAAAGGTTTCATAAAAATCGTCTTATTTTTTTTAACAGTTAATTACAAGAAAACGGCTCTGTAGTTTTTTACCTAAAACTAATTAGTATCATTCCCAACTAATATCGTTCGAACAGTTTTTGATTTTTTAAAATCGGTTCGGTAGTATGAGCTTATTTTGGACAAAAAGTTTAACACTTTTTTCCAAGTTACAAAGAAACGGCTCGGCCAATCGTCGCACAAAACTGACAAACGATAGTCCTCATTGAGATACATCAAATGGCTTTTAAATTTCTGAAATCGGTTCAGGCGTTTTTGAGAAAACGTCGATGAAATGTCTACTTTTGACAAATACGAAAAAACCGATACCAATTTTTGCAAACTTTGACAAATTTTTAAAGCTAAACGAGTTGTCGAAGGGCGGTAATATTTTAGTATGATCTAGAAGACTATGGTATCTACCGTCAAAAAAATAATAAGAAAAATCGTCGAAAAAAAAATTTTAACACTTTATTACAAGAAAACGACCCGGCCGATCTGTATCAAAAATTAATCAGCACGATTCCCAACCAATATCTTTCGAACGGTTTTTGAATTTTCAGAATCGATTCAGAATTGCGGGCTAAAACGTGGACGAAATTTTTTTTACTTTTCTGCTATTTATAAAGAAACGGCTTGGCCGATCGTCGCACAAAACTGATAAACGATAGTCCTCATCGAGATACATCGAATGGCTTTTAAATTTTTGAAATCGATCCAGCCATTTTTGAGAAAACATAAAATTAGCGAATCGGATTTTTCGATGAAAACATAAACTTCTCCTTCGGGAAGTTAAAAAATATGCCGATTCCTAAATACAGTCTTCAAGACCTATATAATCAATTTTTGTTTAGATTTGGTTTGGATGGAAAGCGGAAAGTTCGAAGGTGACATGGTCTTAAATCAGGAACAAATGTTATCAGTTTTAGGACTTGGGTCTAAAAATGGCCTTATCGATAAAAAATATCGTTGGCCCAAAAACGAAGTACCTTACGTTATTGTAGGAGGATACTTTAGTAAGTAAATAAAAATGTATAGAATATAAATTTAAATTAATTCATAGAAAGTAGTTTTTTTTTATTTCAATTAATATTGTTTGGAATTTTTCTACTTTCAATTATTATTTTTTAGATCGAAGTCAAATTAATTACATTCATAAGGCTGTTGCAGAATTTAGAAACATTTCTTGCGTTAAAGTTAGACCCAAAAAAGTTACGGACTTAAAATATGTTCAAATCACGGTTAGTGAAATGTTTTAATTATTGTGTTCAATTTATGTTCAAAATACTTCTATTTTTATTTATAATTGGTCAATTGAAAACCTTATTAAGACTAATTCTAAGATTAATCAAGGAACAACAACTTTTAATTATTTCAGGGTCTTCCAGGTGGTTGTTATTCTAGTGTCGGATTCCAAGATGGAGTCCAGACCCTTAATTTAGCACCATACGAAATTGAAAAAGGGTGCTTCCGTAAAGCTACTATTCAGCACGAATTTCTACACGCTTTAGGGTTCTATCACCAGCAATCGACTCACGACAGAGACGAATACGTGACCATCATGTGGGACAATATTTTGCCAAGTAAGATAATTAATGATGATAATGAAAGCCCAAAGGCAGGTCCATGAGCAAAGACACCCTCGATATACACAAAATGTATATATACTGATAAGTAGGAAGTTGCTTGGAATTTTAATTGGCAATATGTTTTTTTTTTATTTTCTATTCTGCAACCTGTTTTTTACGAACAATAAACAGAGCCTATTAACTATAAATATCTTACAATATAAACTTGACTAGCAATACCCAACGACGTGTCTAATGGGTATTGGCAATACTTTTAATCAAAAATAACTAGTGGGGCGCATGGCATTGTGCTTTAAGGCAAATTCCTGGAACTTCCCGTACCAAAAATTATTTTTTTTTTTTTTAATTTACTTTGAAAAATTAGATTTTGAAAAACTATAAATTATTGAGAAAAAAATATTTTGGAAAAATGACTTTTTGAAAAAAAATGTTTTCTTTATTTTGAAATATTTTGGAAGTTCTGAACTTTTTTCAAAGCAATCGTACTGCTTTAACTGCATAGAAACGAAATATCGAAGCGCGTAAGCGCGGCGCCGCCGTCTAACGGATAAGCATTGATACGGAACCCATAGGAATGTAAACAAAATTTATACTTATTGTTAAATCTCCATAAAATGTCTAATAATTTTATGTGTATATGTCTAATGTTCATTTTTGACTGCCAAATGGCGTTTTTTTACTTTTTAGATCTGCCTTCATGAAAATTTAATTAGTTGTTCATCTTGTCAATATAAGTAAAATATTTTTTAAATTATTAAAATCGGACACTCTTTTCTCTTAAAAACTGAGTTACCGTATGTGGCACTTTTTGCTCTGTATCTTCGAAACGGCTAGACCTGCCTTCGCCAAAAACTAATCAGCACGTCTTCTTATCAATACGAATCGAATTATTCAAATGGCTTCATCCGTGTTCCCGAAATTGTCGACGAAAATTTGTATCCGCACACACACATACACGCACACATATATACACGCACACATACATACACGCACATACATACACACACACATACACACACACACACATACATCCATTTTTTCTAAGGTATGCCAAAATGTTCAGAAGGTTTTGAAACGTAAAGATATATAAAAATTTTTATTTTCGATTTTTTTGCGATTACTATAACTTGCCCTACGGGAACTTAATAATATATATTAGTAGAAGAGAAATGAACAAGAAATGGTACTCTCACACAATGAACCTGTCTTCGGGCATAACACTAATAGTGAAATAAAACTATATATTCTTCACATCCAGACACTGAGCACAACTTCAACAAATATACGGCTAGTACCGTTCAGGATTTCGGAACCGAGTATGACTATTTGAGCGTCATGCATTACGGCGCTTACGGGTTCTCGAAAAACGGTGAAAGAACTATCGTCACGAAGGTAAAGTAAAATTTTTTTAGGTTTCCTGGTACATACATACACGATTATTTGCTATCATTATTCTTTGTGGTTTTTGTTGCAGGATCCAGCGATGTCAGATGTCATTGGCCAAAGGGTGAAGATTAGTGATATCGATATTGTGAAATTGAATAAAATGTATTGTGGTTAGAATTATATATATATATATATATATATATATATATATGTGATGTTTTGTATGGGTATACATTTGTATATATGAGTATATATATATGAACATATATTTTTTTAATTTTTAACTTCCCGTAGGGTAAGTTATAGTAATCGCAAAAAAATCGAAAATGAAAATTTTTGCATTTCTCGACGTTTCAAAACCTTCTGAACATTTTGGCATACCTTAGAAAAAATGGATGTATGTGTGTGTGTGTGTGTGTGTGTGTGTGTGTATGTATGTATGTATGTATGTATGTGTGTGTATGTATGTGCGGATACAAATTTTCGTCGACGATTTCGGGAACACGGATCAACCGATTTGAATAATTCAAAAAACATTCGATTCGTATTGATAAGGAGACGTGCTGATTAGTTTTTGGCAAAGGCAGGTCTAGCCGTTCCGAAGATACGGGGCAAAAAGTGCCACAAAACGGTACCTCCGTTTTAAGAGAACGGAGCGTCCGATTTGAATAATTCAAAAAACATTTTACTTGTATTGACAAGATGTAGAATTGATCAAACTTTCATGGAGGTAGGTCTAGCGGTTTCGGAGATCTAATGAAAAAAGTAAAAAATAATGCCATTCGGCGGTTAAAAATGATCATTAGACATATGCACATCAAATTATCAGATATTTTATAGAGATTTTAACAATAAGTATATTATTTTTTTACATTTTTATGGGTTCCGTACCAATGCTTATGCGTTGGACGGCGGCGCGGCACATGCGCGCTTTGATATTTCGTCTCTATGCAGCTCAAGCAGTGCGATTGCTTTGAAAAAAAGTTCAGAATTTCCATAATATGTCAAAATGAAGAAAAACATTTTTTTCAAAAAAATTTTTTGTATCCAAAAAAAATTTTTTTTTTTTCATATAAATTTTTTTTTTCAAAAAAAAAGTAATTTTTTGTCAAATTTGTAGTTTCTCAAATCTATTTTTTTTTTATTAAATTTTTTTTCAAACATGTTAATCGTTTTTAAAAAAATAATAATTTTTGGTACGGGAAGTTCCAGCAATTTGCCTTAAGGCACGATGCCCTAATTGCCTTAAGACAGAATTCCACTTACAGCTAGTTAATTATAATAATTTAAAACAAATTTTATAAACAAACCGTCTCATTTCATAGAACATTTTTTCTCCTAACGACATCTATTTTTCAACTGGACCCTAATCCTTCCTTTCCTATCTGATATCGCGTGACTAGGCACTTGAAAAATTACTTGAAATCGAATAGAGAATTTGGACACCGACGATCGTTGGGGGGCAGAAGACAGTATTTCGAACAATGTGTAAAGGATAACACATAATGCTAATTTAGGTTCCATATTATTAAATTTTAAATTATAACACACTGATGATGAGACAAACCTAGTCTGGAAACGTTTGTGAAAATTATTATTTAATAAAATAGTGCAAAAAAGAGTGTTGTTGTTCATATTTCTAAATTTATATATATATATATATATATATATATATATATTAATTGTTTAATATGAACAAAACAGCACTCAGATTTGTTTAACACAACTTTATTTTATGATTACAGACGTTTCGAGACCATGGTGTGTCTCATCTTCAGTGTAATTTCAAAAACAGTTACTTATATACTACACATTCTTTAATAATTTATTTAAATTTCATTTAATTTTTGATATACAAAAAAACACCAACTATTTCTTGCAATGCTTGACACAGTACTAAAGAAACATATAACACACAGAAATATTCTAAACAATTTGAAGTACTTATCTAGATGGAGACAGAATGGGTATCATTATAATGTAAACAAAAGGAGTGCTATCGCATACAAAAATCGATAAAAATGAAAAAACAAATTAATTTATTGAAAAGAATAAGATAAATGAAAAAATTTATAAATTATTAATGATGTTTATATAAGTGTCATGTAAAATATTTGTGTCGGTTCTTAGATTTATGCTATTGTTAGTCCGAACTATTAACATTGATTCTGCCATGCTCCGTTTAAATAAGTCTTTCTCATGGAATAAAATTTGGGGATTGTCAAAATCAAACTTATGGTTGTTGATATTAGATTTTATTCCATGAGAAAGACTTATTTAAACGGAGCATGGCAGAATCAATGTTAATAGTTCGGACTAACAATAGCATAAATCTAAGAACCGACACAAATATTTTACATGACACTTATATAAACATCATTATTAATTTATAAAATTTTTTCATTTATCTTATTCTTTTCAATAAATTAATTTGTTTTTTTCATTTTTATCGGTTTTTTGTATGCGATAGCACTCCTTTTGTTTACATTATAATGATACCCATTCTGTCTCCATCTAGATAAGTACTTCAAATTTGTTCAGAATATTTCTGTAAGTGTTATATGTTTCTTTAGTACTGTGTCAAGCATTGCAAGGAATAGTTGGTGTTTTTTGTATATCAAAAATTAAATGAAATTTAAATAAATTATTAAAGAATGTGTAGTATATAAGTAACTGTTTTTGAAATTACACTGAAGATGAGACACACCATGGTCTCGAAACGTCTGTAATCATAAAATAAAGTTGTGTTAAACAAATCTGAGTGCTGTTTTGTTCATATTAAACAATTAATATTTGTTCCACTCATATCATAAAATTCTATATATATATATATATATATATATATATATATATATGTATACATATATACATATATGTATATATAAATAAATAAATATAATAAAATAGTTTACTGTAAAAGCTCAATATGAATTCTTTGCAAGTTTATTATATTAATATGACCATCAAAGTCCGATTAATTTTGTTTCTTAATTAAATAAATTTAATGACCATAGAATATACCTAATAATTAAATTTAATAATTAAATATAATATAAATTCTATGTGTTTCACATCTCAACGTTAATCCAAAACGTGATTACTTTAAGTAAGTTTACGTGACTGCATTAAGTGTAACTACCATGAAAAAATAGAAAAGAAATTTATCCCTTGCAGTTTGAAAATTGTGAGCTTTTAATTACAACATGGAGTTTATACGAGTCAAACTGTTATCATTTTTCAGTTAACCTTGTTAATTTTTATTATTTTTGTTCATTTAAACTTTGAAACCGTAACCATAAATAACACGACTAGGACCATAATAAAAAGTAATGATAAAATTGTACCGAAGTTTTTAGAATCAAACTATTTGTTCTAATTTGAAATTAAAATTTTCAGGATTGAGCTTGCCGATTAGGCATTGAAAAGTGATATTTTAAAATGTTAGTTAATTTTTGTGCTAAAATTGCGAAAACGAACTTTATGACTGCCTGGCACAAGTGCTTTAAACAAGGAGCAGGACATGTTTTAAAATAAACTAAAATCAATATTTTTACAAAACTTAAGAATTTTATGCAAACACTTACGGGATGATGAATCTACTGAGACCTCTTTTGAACCACAACAGCCCGCTAAGCGCAAATAATAAACGGACACTTTACTTGACACTCATAAGATCGTTACTGACATACGCCGCTTCAGCATGGAACGCGACAACCAAGACCAACAGATGGAGACTACAAATAGCACAGAACAAAGCACTGCGACTGGTACTAGACAAATCAAGGGACCCACTGACGAGACACTACTACTCAACAAAATATTTACATGAACAGACGGACATACCGACTATACTCAAACATAACAAAAAGCTCACTAAAAAATTTTACCGGAAGTGTAGGGATCATGATAACAGTACCATCCGAGCTTTAGGCCAATACACATCGGAAATGACATGCTATGGGAATTATGCCATGCCAAACTACCTGATCGAGCCCGTAGTAACCATATGAGCAATAAACCACTGTATAAATGATTTTTTTAGGAGACTAAAACTTTTCTCCTTTTTTTGTTCTTGTTTAATGTATAAAATATTGTATAAATATAAATAGGCAATGCAAGTAATATAAAACTAGAAATTTTTGGATAGAATACCCTAGGGTAGAAAAACTCACACACAATTCACTGTATTTACATAAAATGTATCCAATATATTGAATAAATTTTTATTTCTGTCTGTCTGTCTGTTTTCGGTACTTATATGGGCTTCTAAATCTCCTAAGATCACTATTGAACACAAAGAGTGTATTAAATACACGTAATAAAAAAAAGAATATATCTAACGTTGATCAGACCATGTCTAATGTATACTGCCCCAATATGGACAAACATTAAAAAACTACAGATATTACAAAACAAATCACCGAGACTAATACTAAACCTGATACGTGACCCAACTACCGGACACTACTACTCAACAAAACTCTTACACGAACAAGCAGACATACCGACTATGATCAACCACATTAAGAAAATGACGAAAAACTTTTACCAAAAATGTAAAGAATATACCAATAATAACATTAAAACCCTCGGACAGTACACGCCTGACATCAAATGGTACGGCAAATATCCAATGCCAAACTACATTCTGGTCGACACAAATAAGAGTATCTAATAATTTAAAGTATGTAAATTAAATATATATTTAAAGATTGTGATTTTTTTTTAAGAATGTTTGAACTTTCTTTTTTTCGATCACAAACCGTAATTTTATTTTTAAATCAAATTGTGTAATTTAAAGTGGATAATTTGTAGTATTAAATTAGAGTAGAATACTTTTAGTAGTAAACTCATAAATCAAGGTTATTGTATATTGTATTGTAATAAAACAAAAATAAACTAAAAAAAACTGTTTTTGGGTATTAGAACTTTGGTATAGCTTTATGAAGATACTAACGAAACTTTTGAACGCTTTTGAAATGAGTGAAACATGTGGAGTTTTGACATGTTTTGAATTGAGCGAAAAACTTTTTTTCCAAAACAATTTTTTCTCAAAAAGTTGTAAACCATGGCGGGTTACAGAAGGAAATTTTTTGTCCACATTCCCTAATTCGTATGCATTTTTCAATAGCATATCCTTTAAAATATAGAATGCATGTGCCTGAGGTAACCGTCCATCGTTGCTTTCGGGTATTATAACTTCGGTCTTGCGTCATGAAGATT